TATGTGTTCTAAACGTCATTTGTGTCTTCTGTGGAGAGCGATGGGCTTAAGGAAAGTAGAGTACGCACCCCATGCACACACAGACAGACAAAGAGAGAGAGAGAGAGAGAGAGAGAGAGAGAGAGAGAGAGAGAGAGAGAGAGAGAGAGAGAGAGAGAAGGGGACGGGGGAGAGAAACACACAAAACAGGATACAAATCCAGTTGAAATCAAACAAATTCAAGGGATTTACACAAATTTATTTCGCGTACATCTGAAACAAAAATCTACATAATAATACTAACCTTAAACCTCTCCGTACGTCGTGTTTTACTATCGTATCCATACGACGTCGGGAACTCTGTACCACCACTTTCTAAAGAGGAAATTTACTCGTTAATCCGATCCACGCTTTGCATAGCAATCTGTCAAAATGATTTTTTGGGAAATACTGAAAGTTTCAAAGAGATCCTCGTACTAGAAGTATTCTAAAATGTGAAGAATACAACCCCGGGGGTACAAAATGACCCCAGGATGTACGGATAGGGTTAAGCAAGCGCAAGACGCTGCCACCTGTCCAACAGATTTGATCCCTTTATAAGTATAAGTATTGGTTTGCCAAAGTTATATCTGCCTTCACTTATGCGCGTCCACTTTATTGTATTAGTTGCGGTTTTCCTATAGGAAGACTCTGCTTCATAAAAGAATGTGTCATGTATTGTTCGGGGATCAGATGAGATAGACAGACCGATGACGGATACACATTAGCAGAAAAGGGTTCACATTCCACGAGAGATTCGATCTACTTTACGTCTTGTTCTCCCCCCCCCCCCCCCAAAAAAAAAAAAAAAAAAAAAAACACACACACACAAATTTCTTTTTTCTTTTTTCTTTCTTTTATTTTTTTCCCTGTTTTCTTCTATTTTCTATCACTTTTGGTTTCTCTGGGGTTTAAAAAAATATTTTGTTGTTGATTGTTTTGTTTTGTTTTTGTTTTTAGTTGTGTTTTATTTTTAACGTATTTCTTAGTGCTCCTGCAGCACACGTGGAACTCTTTCTCACCTTGTGGAGTGAACATGTATTTTCCCGTTACAGTTACATAAGTTATTCTGGTACTTTTTTTTCTAACAAAAGACAATGGCGGGAAGATATTATATTGCCGACAAGTATACGTAGACAGATGTGGAATGACGGTCTTGTAATGACTGGCGTCCGTTGTCTAATGATTATAAAGGCATGTCGCCGTAAACACGAAGAAGGCGCGAACGTGAATCCCGCTGAGAGCAGTCTATAATAATTATACATATTGTAATACTGTTTTTATCGAGTAGGCCTATTTACGATGTGCTTCTGTTGAGATAATGTATCCCACTCACTCTGGACGAAGTTATAGGCTGGATAGAAGCAGCTGTCTGTCTGTCTGTCTGTCTGGCTGACTCCCCCCCACCCCATCCCCTCTCTCTCTCTCTCT